CACTCGAAGTTCTAATCTGAATCCACGGGATGAGGATCAGGAGATGAGGAGGGACAAGTCTCATTCAGAACTAATTCAAATTTCGACGATCCTTTTGGGGAAAAAATAACAAAAGAATACAAAATAAAATTGCTGCTTTATATATAATCACTAAATGGTCCAGATAGGCAGATATAAACAGGAAATTGATGGGGATATCAGATATGGAAACTATTCAGCTCGCACGAATAAGGCTTCAAATCTTCCCATGAGCGTCTATAAAATCCAAGACTCTACACCAGATAATAGAAAAAACGTAAGGAATAGAAAAATTGAAGAAAACCCATAGGCACATATGAAGTATACAGATCCTTCACAAGCAATCCAACCCAACACGAACCCCAGATGCCAAAACGCAAAAAACACCCAGACCTCATAGTAGGTCAGAATTTGAGGGATGAACTCTCAAAGGGTATCAAACAACAGAATTCCAAAAAATTACTCAACAAAAAAGCACACTCACATGTATGGAGGCATTCGATAATAGTGGTGGCATCACGGAAGACCTTGTGGCAAAGAGGACATGTCATGCATGGCGAAACCGCATCCCGCTTCAACTTCACCACCTGATTCGACATCTCAATGTAATTATTTTGGGACTTTCTAAATTAACGAAATATATAATAATAATTCCTCGTGATTTACGCGGTGCATGCTAGTTCCACAACATGAAATAGGGGATTTACGTTCGTGCCCACTCTTACTTTTTCAGTTGTATCTGCATTCAACTCATAAACCAAAACCCACAAATTATAATCACCAAAACAACTACCTTCGCCTCTAATAACACATATAACCCGGTAAGTATTTACCGATGTGGGTTGGATTTAGGGACGACAATTCGAACTGTTAAAACTGAAAATCGGTTAACTGAACCGAATGGGGCGAAAAAAACCGAAATGATTGTGCAATGTGGTGGTTATGGTTTTGATTTTAGTAACCCGATTCGGGGTGGGGCGGGTATGGTATTTAGTGACGATACCTTCCTCCGAACCGATTACCCGTTAAAAAAAATTAATTGGGCAATTTTGAACTTTTGAAAAAGATGATTTTCCAAATGAAATTTTATTTTGTTCATCTTAAACACAATTGAAAAAGATGAATAGTTCTAAATAGTGGCTAAAAGTATAAATTTTTGTTCAAGTGGAATATTTTCTGCCTTCATATTGCATTGAAATAATATTGGTGCCTGTAATTGATTGCTATGCTTATAAGTATTATACTTGCGATCATGTTTTAGTTTATTGACGTGTTTTATTTTTCTCTATTGTGTGTAGAAAATTCGGCTCATTCATCATAATCCGGAGCTTGTGCAAGGTTTAGTGATGAAGACATTGACGAATATGTACATTTTTTTTGTTTAAATCTTCAGTTAAGATAATTCTTGATTCGGTAGTATGGTTGTATTATTACTCTAATTACATTTCTTATTTACTACATAGAAATAAATTTTGAGTTTTAACTCTTGACCTATGCTAGTAAGAGTTGTGGAGAAGAATAAAGATTGACACATACTAATAAGATTTCTGACTTATGTTGATAATATTGTTTGTTAAAGTCGAATTTTGCATTTGAAAGTTGGGATATTATTTGCATTTTCATTTGGGATATTGTTTACTAAATTGGCTTAGTATTGTGTTTTTTTTTTATTGACTTTTCTTTATANTTTGCATTTGGAAGTTGGTATATTGTTTGCATTTTCATTTGAGATATTGTTTGCTAAATTGACTTAATATTGTGTTTTTGGTTTTATTGACTTTTCTTCATAATTTTTTTTTTTTTTTCAATTTGACGGTAGGAGTTTGAACTTATAAAAAATAATTTATTTTCGTGATTATTAACTGAACCGAACCAAACCAAACCAAACCAAACCGAGATACGAATCGAACAGACTTTCGTGGTTATGGTACGATTATGGTATGACAAAAAATTTGGTGGTGCGGTTATGGTTTTGGCCGAACCGACCCCGAACCGAACCGTTGCCATCCCTAGTTGGATTAGTGTTTTTATCGACCAGTGAATCAGATTAGGTGCCTGATTTGGGGGAAGGAGACGTGGCTTGAAGGAGTGACGTGTCATCAGTGATCTATGCGAGGGTTTGGGAGCAGAAATCGAAAATGGTTATGAGATGCTGGGGAGGGGATTGGGGGAAGAGGCTATGTAACCCCNTTTTCTTCGTAATTTTTTTTTTTTTCAATTTGACGGTAGGAGTTTGGACTTATAAAAAATAATTTATTTTCGTAATTATTAACCGAACCAAATCAAACCAAACCGAGATACGAACCGAACAGACTTTCGTGGTTATGGTACGGTTATGGTATGATTAAAAATTTGGTGGTGCGGTTATGGTTTTGGCCGAACCGACCCCGAACCGAACCGTTGCCATTCCTAGTTGGATTAGTGTTTTTATCGACCAGTGAATCAGGATTTAGGGGAAGGAGACGTGGCTTGAAGGAGTGACGTGTCGTCAGTGATCTATGCGAGGGTTTGGGAGCAGAAATCGAAAATGGTTATGAGATGCTGGGGAGGGGGTTGGGGGAAGAGGCTATGTAACCCCAGTTTGATGTTCAATATTTTCAAAATGTATTTTTCTCTCTTTTATTTTTAATCACATATTTTTTAATAAAATAATAGTACATGCAAAAAAAAAAAAAAATCTTATTTTTTAACCACAATTCTCCATCAAAATACTATTCCAAAATACATTTTGAACAAAAATGGAACTCAAACAAGCTATTAGTTTTTACTAGGGGCGTTGGATGGAGCCAAGCACTAGCGCCAGCTCACTTCGAGAAATTTCGACTTAGCGCACCCTTTGGTGGGTGACCGAATGGCTCGTGAGTTGAGATCTACTGTTCAAAATCGGATGTTCAACTTGTTGTCCATCCAATAATTCATTGACATATCATTCTAAATTAACACGTTCAAATTTTCTCTCATTAACACTTATGCTTAAAAATGCTTAAAAATGATATGTTAATGAATCAATGGTGGACAACAAATTGGACATTCAATTTTGAACAGCGAGTCTCAACTCGTTAGCTTGTGAGCCACTTGATCTTGTATATATATATATATATTTTTTTTTGGTCAAAAATTGTATTATCACTCTTACAAGTACAATGAAAGCCTAAATTTGTAAAAACAAATGTGAATTTAAGAAATTATAAATTTATAAAAATTCTCTTTTATCTATACTTGGATTCGACCACAACATGAATGCAGAGTTAAAAATTCACCATGTGGAATATTTCGCGTATAATTTTTTAAAAACTAATAAATGAAATTAACACAATATAATAACAATTGACGATTCAAAATTTAAACTTAATTACAATTCTACTTTCAACAGTTTACAATTGCACATTTGAATAGATGCCGGAATAACACCTTGTCATCCTCATTTTCTTGAAGTCATTTGCATAAACAAATATGTGCTTCTATTTGAATTATAGTATTGTCTAAGTCACGTGATCTATCTTCATCTAATATAATGTCGATCATTATTTATAACGTACTTGACAACATATTGAGAATATAAATTATACAAATTACTTTCTATATCGTAATGTATAATGGTGATGTCAAATGTCAAATGCAATGAAATACTTTAGATAATACATTTACAACCTTGTAAGTTAATAAAAGGTCCATAATCGCAACTTGTGGGATAATATGGACAAGTCTTCCCACATTTTTCGGAATTTCATCTCCATTGCATCATCAACAATGAACAATTCCTATAAATACTAAAAAATTTTTTGGAAATATTAAATTGATGAGTTAAAACAGTAAGCGCATTGAGATAATAGACATTCGTGCATGCATTGGTCGTATCAAAAAAAACTTTCAAAATTTCATGATCACAAAATAACTAATTGTTATAATTTAAATCGCAATCAGAGTCATATGATGCTCACTATTATAAAATTAGTAATAATCACATTACAATTAATATGAGATTATAGCATGAGATATGTAGAGTTGTATCAATTACTTATATATGTTATAAACATCATGTTGGGTAAGTTACAATATGCTCACACTTGTAATGTTTGTTTATGAGATAGAGATAGAAATAAAAGTAATAGCTTGTTTAATTTTTGTCATGGTGCAATATACTTATGGCCATCTTGCAAAATCAAATTAAAAATATGAGAAACGTAATGCACATGAAAAAACTTTCCATTAAAATTCAAATGGAGTTGGTTGATCGATTCTTCAAACGTTAGAGTGAATATTACCAATATCAAAATTAAAACTATGAACTTTATCTTTGCAAAAAAAAATTCTCTGTACACCCATTAAAAATTTTAAAATGTTGTGCATTTTTTGAAAATTTAATGGCCTTGAATACAATAATTTTTTTATACATGATCAAAATTATATCATTTACGATTTTTCCCGGACCACAGATTGTAAGTAAATAAAATGACACTATTATTATAATTTCTTAAATCGTCAATAATTTGTATTTTTTTTTCAATACCTCTTAAATTTATAGCATCTGTTGAATACATATTTATATGAATTTCATCAAGTGCACAATTTCCACTATGGATAGCAACTTGGAAGTTGGCATTGTATATGATCATACATTCGAGCGTTGTTTCTGAATTATATGCTCAATTTGCAAAAATTGCTCTAGAAGGCCTGTCTTCGCCTGAACCAAATTGAAATTGACTCTGCCTATTCCGACAATCTCGATATGAACAAGGCCTTTTTCATAATGCTTGTTGCACTGGATAGTATCAATATTTACTTTCCAAGTGAAATCCTTTCCCCTATAATTACAATATGCTTTCGTAATCTGCTCGTTATTCTCAATGGTCTTCATTCTCTTGAAGTGTTTCCAACATTCGAAAGTAGGTTAATGAGATTTTGCCCTTTTTTTTATCTCTTTGAAGAAATCGCTTCTTCAAGTCGTCATCGGGCTCTATGGTTGTTGGTTCGATAGTACTGACATTTTTCGGGCTCGAAACAATGGAAAGGTTGAGAAAAAATATAGACGGTGAATAGGAAATCTGAAGTCATGTCTTAGTACATTTTATGTATGTTTTAGTTAACTATTCTTGTGTGTTGTTTTGTGTTTGCTCAAAGACAAGCAAAGAACTGAGTTTGGGGGGTATTTGATGAGTGTAATCACCTCATTAAATATGAACTCTCAAATCTTAGTTTTTAATTTGATCTTGAGTACTTTTGATGCATGTTTTGATGTTGTTTTGTAGCTAGACAAATTGAATCTAAATGGAGTGATTTGAAGCTTGGAA